CCCAAGTCTTCTTACACCGACCAAAACTAGGGTTGACTTATTGCACGACACGCAGAAGCGAAGGGGGCACAGCGATATCCCACACACACCCTCCTGGTTCGCTAATTTTTCGGTACCCACCCTATGTTGTGGAAAAAAATACCGGGAGGGGGGAGGAGGGGGTGACGCTACCCGCCGAAGTTCTTGTCTTCCAGCGAAGATCTGCAATGGACCCCGTTCTTACCTTGACCTCGAGTTTGGACACCTCGGTACGGGTTCTTGTTCTTACGTCACGTCAGAACTGAGCACCTGTTCTTATGGCCGAGTTCCTAAGTTTTGGATATTTTTAGCCCCATGTTCTTAACAGGTGTTCTTAAGTGCGGGCGCCATCTGTATTTGTAGAAGCAGCAGCATGCGCGCTGCATCATGCGTGCTGCACGATGGATGGCGTGTGGAGTTTCATAATGAGCGTACTAAGAAAGAAGGACCCTCGACAACAATTCAACCCGCTCCCACCAAGTTAGCAACGCCGGAACCGGTTTCGCGCCACAGCAAGCGATGGTTGCTCAAACAATAGTGAGAACTCTTGAAATCGTCTCGGCTGCACAGAACTGCTGGTAGTTCTCCGAGGTTCGCATTGTGGGCTGAGATCGGCTTTTTTTTAGATCCGATCGGTCAAGGGGAGGGCTATGCATGCGAATAAAAAGGACAGACAGACAAGACAGCAATATAAACTTTTGGTCGACAGAGACCGCTCGACCGAGTTTGGAAACAACCCTTACCTCCTCCTACTGAACCAAGCCTGTAAGTCCATGCTAAAATATCGTAAAACAACCGAACCAAGCCTCCTGTGCTATCGTAAAAGGTTGACAAGCAACTGCCTGTTGCATTAGTATTCGAAAACCGTGTGGACGAATTTGGAGGCTCCGAACATTGATGTTTGGCGGCGTTCTGCCTGGACAAGGAACCAATAACCTGGGTATCGACCAACATCTCGGCAGTCTCAGAAAACGCCTGATGGTCCTCCAAACAACTCCAAACAGAAAAATAAAACTGCCAGGCACGAAGTACTGGCAAGTTTACAACATCTTCTGCTTCTGTCCCACATTCCCGGGAAATAAGGAAGAGCGAAGGAGCACAACGTTACCAAACGAACGACAAAAAAACAAATCCGGCACTGAAATCGTTTGGCGCAGCGCAGCAATACGGCATACCCGGTAGAGTACCCGCAACGCAAAGCACAACACATGAACACAATGAGTGGGTGGATTTCCCCACACGGTCGGCGAACCCGGCCAAGGCTATGGGGTGTTGCCCTCCGGTGGCCCTTCGCGAGCACTTGACTTTGGACAGAGACACCCAAAAAAATCCACGCGCTTGTTGTCTTCCTGATACGGTTCTGCTCAGTGTGCTGTAAAATCCATACCTATCAACGGACGCGGTCGCCTCCCGCATGCTTAAAGGCAAATCAACATGGGTAATCTTTGTCAACAACTAAATATTCCACAGGCCCAAAATCTTAAAGCGAAGTTGATCCGAAAACATGCCAACCAAAGACAGTTGGTAAAAGCGTTGTCAGACAAGGGTAAAATGGCAGCAAAAGTGGGGCTCTGCACCAGAGGTACGTTTCCGTTCACGCAACCCTGCCGTACGGTCCCGCCGTTGAATACAATACACAAGGCCGCGTACACACGGCTGATAGACGAGGGAGAAGGACCTTTTCGTGTTATGCCGAACGGAGCCTGTCTTTGCTGGCTCTCTCTTCCTTTCCACGACAGTGTTGGTTGCGGTTTGTCTGCGTTCGGTGTGATCGTCTTCAGAGCAAGTCCGCGAAGGAGTTGTGAAGAAGCAACGTGCCGAGGTGTCATCGTGTCGCCTCCCGCTCCACGGTGATGTTCGTCAGGGCCTGAAAATGTCGCCGTTGTCACAAGCACGAACGGGATCGACGTTTGTCACAAAACAGAAGAAGGGCCCGGCGTTCGTGCAAGAAACAATGGACAAGCACTCCCGTACGAGGCGAAATTTGGGATCACAGCAGTGTCAACAATGCGTTGCGCACTCATTGCGCCATGACGGCATGCCATGGTTGATTGGGATGACGGCACAAACCACCTAGACCATCAGCAGTCATCACGAGATCACCAAGCGCGCAATTGACTCCTGTGCCCCGGTGAATACACCAAAACGGACTACTCGTACAACCGTAGTTTATTCCGCACGGTGATGATGAGCCTAGCGATGTCTGCAACGTCCTGCATGGCAACACAATTGCGGGGACATTTCCCCGTACTGTTACGCCCTGCAGTCACGAGCTGCACTTGGTAGATGTTCAAAGTAGATGGCGTGAAAAACCGTCTAGATGCACAGCTCAAAGCATTCCGTCGGCACATCATTGGACGGGTTCGAGACCAAGGTGTAAAACACAGAACAGGAGGAAGAGTAACGCGGGCTAACGTGTGAGGAAAGAATAGATAATTTTTTCGTCGAAGACAGGAACTTTGTGTTCGGGTGACGGTCGAATTGTAGCCCACTGTTCCGAAACCTGGGGTAATCAGTCGAAGAAATTGTCACCCCTCCCTGTTACTACGTACATAAGGGCACGAGCGGAGGCTACAGGAGAGGTGAAAAGCCGGAAGGACAGCAGCGGCCGCCCAATGTAGTTGGCGGCGGAGTAGAAAATGGAGGAACGAAAGGATGAGAACACGCTGGCGCCGGCACAGAGACCCGCCCTAAAGGCCCTCTGCCGACCCGAAAGGGTGTGTGCTCGCGGGCCACGTGAAGCTTCTTTGTAGACAGCAGCCATGCTCACAACTACAACCCCTTCCTTGACAAAACTCCGCATGGTGTGTGAGTTGATGCATGATCCCTGTTGGCCGTTAGGCGGTTGTCCATGCTGTTCACGTGATGCGTCTGCTCCATCACCATCGACTCCCGATATACGCGGACGCCACATTTCCCTCCAAGCATTTGCATTGCGATATAACGTGACGGATGTTGGTAGGGTGTATCGCTTCACACTTGCCCACTATCGCGTTAACCTGGTCGCTAGCAGATGCCGACTCACAAACAGCGACGGCGGTCACCGATCGGTACGGAGGTGTGGAAAACACAAAAGAGGAGAGGACAGCAAAACCAAAACCCTTACTTGCGACGCAACGCTGACGTACGGCAGGAGGGGCGTGTTATGAACCTTAAACTTTGCTGCCATGTGTGCGAAATCGTGATAACGTGCAAAACCGTGCTGACCACGGAAGATTGCGTTGTGCAACGCAGCACTGTTGTGCCTGCAATAGCATGAGGAAGTACGATAGCTGCTACTCACCCTTCCCCACACGCGCGACTGGCGCACCACACGCGCGACTGCCGCACCGGTGCCGCAAGACAGGCAGTCAGACGGGCTCAGAAAAAAAAAAGACGACCGACGCACAGAAAAACACGGTGCACACTGTGGGAAACAACACTAAACTTCTCAGGGAACACAAGCAACTACAATCCCAGCTTGGGAATTTTTTTCTCCCCCTACCCCCCCCTGGTGTTTGCCATCGGGCATGGGTTTTCGTCGCTTGGCAACGACGTTGTAGAACAAGCCACCCCCTCGGTGTTTGCCATCGGGATTGGGTCTTCGTCGCTTGGCAATGACGTTGAAAAACAAGCCAATTCACTTCGTGAACTCGGCAACCAGGTTACCGTTTTGCTATTTTTTAACCTCTGTTGTTTTTTTGCCGGTAACCATCATGGTGGTCGTGTGGATCATGTTGTGCGGGGTGGAGAACCCTCACTCCGCGCAAGGGGGATGATCGCACCACGTTGTGTTAAAATGGTCAAGCACCCTCGAGGCAGTTACACAGCTTACAACTGTCTCTGGAAGTGAAAGCACCAGAAAATAAATTAAGTCATACGCAGATGTCATCCGTACGCAAGGGAGTGCGCACAAGATGCCGAACACCCTGAGCAGGAAGCAGCGCACCCTTCATGCGACTCGCCGAATATCGCACGGCGCTTCGCGCTTGGTGATGTGAGAGCCTGGTCCGGTGAGAACCCGGCGTGCTCCGTCCCGGCTTTGTAGGGATGCGAGGTCAATGGTCTAACGCTACGGCATGCACGACTATGAGTATGAGTACACCCCCCTCCTATAAGTTGGGGGGAGGAGGTACGTCGGTGACGTCCGCGAGATCAAACACAGCGTAGTTGACCAATACCTACGAGATAACAAGGATAAGATCACCAACTATATATGTATTTCGATGTTGTTCAGGCTTCCGGACATGTTTCGCTCGGGCTTCCGGACATGTTTCGCTCGCCGCGAGCGAGTTTTGTCGGACGTTCCCTTCTCAGGGGAACGCAGGGGGCTCGTCGGTACATTACCGCGTTCGCCCGAGGACGGCAGGCGCCCGTAGTGCGCATTATCGATGCCCACTGTTGTAAAAACTGGATCTATAACACGGGGACGTGTTCTGCGCAACGAAAGCTCACCGAATCAAAATACAAAAACCAGACAAAAAAAAGTATATCAACCCACGGCGCCGGGATCAACCACCACAGAGCCACGGAGCCAGCAGTGCGCATGACGAACATGTGCCATCAGAGGATCAGTTGCCGCGCTTCACTGTGAGAGGCACGCAGAATGCTGGTTGGCACCCTATCGTATGTGCCTGGGATTCACCACGCCAACTGCTACACAGTGGACAACACACGACAATTTCCCGGGTCCCCGCCACGGTATTTCGTGCGGAAAATTATTATAAATAACCCCAAATGATCGCAGCGAATCTGTACAGAGATCTCTTGAGTGATACCGTACAAATACCCTCGAGGCAGTTACACAGTGCTTACAACTGTTTCTGGAAGTGAAA